TATAGTATTGTCTAATGGGTCGGATGATTCATTCAGGTTTTATACCTAAATTTTCAAGTTCCCAAAATTTCTTTATCCGATCAGATATTATATCTTCCTCAACTACGATATTAAAGGCTGTGGAAGTATACGTTGTACCTTTAGTGCAACCTAACAGAGACCAACCGAATAACGTTTCAGCAGCTACTAAATGTTTGTTTAAACCATGGAGGTAGGAAAGGGAGGAGGGGCCAACCCGCGCTAAAAGTGAAGCACTGCTTTGAAGCTTGGGTCACCAGATGGGGTGTTCTTTGTTTACATTCAGAAGCTCGCTTGACAAGATTCTGATAGTATTTCGACACACGACAGTTCCATAGAAATCGAAAAAGGGGACACTTTTGCATGAAAGAAACATTCATTAGTGTGATGGATAATAGCAATTTTTATAGTTTAGTGACATTTACGCAAAAATCACATCTTGATTATTTTTCGATAACTAACAACAGCGATTTTGATTATGAATTTGTTTTATAAAATTATAAGCTGTTGCACTACAAAAATATAGATTTTAAGAAAAATGTTATGCTTAAAGAATGAAAAATACCTTACGGTACATTTAAAATTGTATACATCTTTCGATACCCTTGATAGAGTATTCGCTACTTTTATTTTATTTTCCAAACGTCAAAATGTTTTAAATAAAACAAATTTTTTTCACATCCATATATTATTGTAACATGTACCTTTTAAAACTTTTTAGAGGAGAGGCTTTACTGCTGCTCATTTTAAACCCATCGTTTTAATTTTATATATCTGAAAAATAATCACTTTGGGCTTATACGTTTTATAAATATAAAATTATGTATGTTAAAATATTTGTAATTAGGCACATAGGTTAGATTAAGTTTTTATTAAATTGATTAACACATGCAAGGGCTATCTGCCTAAAGAGAGAGATGCCATCGTGGAGGAATTTTGAAGAAACACTGACCTTTGAGTGGGTATTAAAAATAATACTTATAATTTTCATTCAAATTATATTCATATATATTTTTTATATAAAACTTTCGGGTGTATGCTAAATTAGCATAAATTACTTTACACGAAAAATATAGTGAATGCACAGAAATTAAAGATTTGCACATGCCGGAAATGAAAAATAGGAAATATGTATGGGTATTTATGCATGTGCTTGCAAAAAGCATGTATCTGCCTTTGACAAAATACTTAAATATTCATTAAATTATTTATAAATGTATTTGAAATGAAGAATTTATTCACTTATAAACAACTGTGAAAGTACTGTGAAGAAATCTAATTATTAAATGTATCTAATTTATAATGATTATAAATGTTATCTAAATATATAATAACTTTAATATTGAATTGTAAACATAAATTGAAATCCTGTTGACAAATACGTTATAAAACTATTTAAGCAAGAATTGTTCGTATTGGAAAGCAATCTGTTAAAAGGTATTGTAAAGCTAATGGTATGAGATGCGCACTTAAGAACGTAATAAAGAGTTTTGGAATATGTATTGTTGAAATGAAGGGTAAAAAAAAATCTGATAAGTATAATTAAAAGAATTATTCCCCTTACATTTTATAATAACTCAGTTAAAAGTTTTAAATAATACTTAAAAAAAAAACTTATTTTATTCCCTTTCAGAAATATTCAGAAAAAGTCAAGTACTATTTAATACCTATTTAATTATTAGGAATTAGCGAAATACTTATTTAAAGTATTTCGCTAATTCCTAATAATTCTCTAATTTAAATTGCACCGAATAGAGCATTAATTATAAATTGACTTACATTTTTCGATTTAAAAGATGCCTCAGAAGCCAAAAAATTATGTCATATTAAGAAAGTATTTTAGGAAGAAGCTCTATAAATAGAAAAGAAATAATGCATAATTTTAATATTAATAATACAATAAACTTTGATCTTAATTTTTGTACCGTAACTGAATAAAATCGAATTACCTTATTTTTTTTTTCCTAATGTAATTAACGACAACTTGTGAAAATATTTCATTCAAATTAAACCATTCTGAGAAAACTGTCCTGTGAAAAGTATAGCATTTAATTCCGTTCAGAATGAAATGCTGTTTAAAATATGTTGTTTTCACATACTTAGGACTCTGAAGTGTTGTAGAAAAAAAAATATATACATTTATATGTATATTACGACGTAATTACAAAATATTTACATCCGAACGCGTCAAATCCCATAGAACTCATGGTAAATGACCCAATGTTTTGGTCACCACGTAGGGATCGCCAGTGCTTCAGAGCAGGGTACGGGAGAAACTTGTTTAGGGCGACTCCATCTTATTTCCTACCTCCATGGTCTAAACGCTTAAGTTTCCCAGTCACTATATCATAATAACAATCAGCTCCTATCAAAAGAGTAATTTTTTCTTTGGAATCCCAAGAGTCTGCGAGTTGTAAACCTTCTAACTGTTTGCCTAAAATGTGTTTATCCACATTAGGAGGTGGTAAATCAGAACTTGAAATTTGTTCAGTCACGAGAGCTTCAATTTCGATTTTCAAATTCGGTGTTTCCTTGTTCTGTAATTTTATCTTAACAACGTCAAATGTTTTTCTAATGGGTGTTTTATTTCCAAACGTAAATACCGAAAGAGTCTCTGTTCGAATAACAGGAAGCTTCAATTTATCCGCGATTTCTTTTCTTAGGAAGGAACGCATACTACCTGAATCCAGTAGAGCTCTAATTAAAACCGACTGCGTATTTGTTCGAAGTGTTACGCAACAAGTTTGAAGTGAAATAGTTTTAATTTTGCTGCGTGAGAATGCTGAAAGAACATGCGAATCTTCTATACTTTTATTTTTTTTCATTTCGTTCTTTCTCAGCGCGAAAGCATATTGAACGGTTATGTCGACCTTTGCACTTGGAGCAGACGAGATCGCTTCGACACTGCTTTAGGCGGTGGTTTCGAATTTCAGGCAAAGGTAACATCGGGAATGTTGCCTACGTAATAAATTTCTCTTCTCATCAACTGTCAGTGATTCACAGTCTTCAGTAACATGTTTGGATGTATTACAAAACAGACAGCAAATTAGTAGTTTTGTTTTCTTTAACCGCGGCGCAAGCAGCTGGTAAGTGGAATAGGACGATACTCCCCTTCCCACCCTTCTCTTTATAAACACAGGAAGTGCTTTCTGATTTATGAGTGGAGAGCAAAAGATGGCTTCTCTCGCGACTTTCCAATTCTGAAACGAACAAACTGCAATAATTCGTCAACATTAAAAAAAGATGACGAATCCGTTTTACGATTGAATTCTAAAGTTATATCAGACGGCAGAGTTTTCATTATGGCTGGAATCAACATATAACTGTATTTATCCGGTGTGACTTCTAATGATTTCAAGCTGCGTATTTGAGTTTCTATAGTGTCACAAAGTTTGCGAAGTTTTAAAGTGTCACTGGATTTGGTTACTGGGGTAAGATTCAGGAGTTTTTGCATGTGTGAGTTTATAATTATATCTTTTCTGCCAAACCTGTTTTTAAGTATTTCAATAACTTCATCGTAATTTGGTTCCGAAATACAAAAACCTTCTATCGCGTTTGCAGCGTTGCCGCATAAGTACGATTTTAAATAATTAAATTTTTCGAACTTTGTTAAAGATTCATTATTATGTATTGCTACTTTGAAAGAGTTCCAAAAACTTGTCCACTGGGTATACTCTCCATAGAATTTAGCGATGGTTAATTTTCATTTCATTTAACGTACATTTATTGCTTTCGATTTTAGAATTAGTTTCATTAAGAGAGTTTCCATTATCCGAATTTGTTACTTTATTTAATTCTTTCAATTTTTTATTTGCTCTGAATTGCCATAACTGAATTTTTTCTTCATATTCGATACAAGATAGAATTTCTGTTTCAAACTCTTCTGCCTCTGATTTCAAGTCACGCTCTATCTGAGCATCTAACTCACTCAGAGCTTTTGATTTCGTGATTAATTGATCTAAATTTTCTTCTAATGTACTTGTATCAATTTCTTCTTTATTCAACTCCGATTCGATTTTTTTTAGAATCTTGGACACGGTGGTCCTGATAACTTTGCGTTTCGATTTTAATTTAACAACAGACTCTTCCGCCATAGTTACTCTACAAATTAGAAAATTTAGCCTTACCTTTTTTGCTGACTTCGCACACTTGCAATGTGCTAAATCCAATTTTCGACGGCCTAATGCACCAGCTGTTTCAAAATATTCTAAGATCTATAAATCGACATCAATCACTTTTTAAAAATAACCTTTTAATATGTACAATATCTACAGATCATCAGATCAAGCATTCCGTGGTTCGGTTATAAAACAAATCTATATGCGATCAAAAAAAAAATTTTTAAATAGGAGCCGAAGTGCTCCTAAAATGTGCGAAGCATCTAAACATCCATCTATCGAGCTGCCTGTGGAGAGTCTCAGGAAATTCAGAACGCACATCGCATTTTGCCATCTATCAATTAATCAAAACCATTTCCACAAATACCAAGAGCTCAGAATATTAAAATCAAAATAAAAAGTGTCCTCTTTTTTAATGAAGAAGAGGTTCATGAAAAATGTGGGTCAGTTTTCATGGTGCATTGAAAAGCCAGTAGTTTTTAATAAATTTAGACTGCATATACTCTGTCTATTACATGTTATGATATGAATAAAATTGAAAGCTACTATTTTGTGACATGACTGCTGAAATAAAAGGATACTTACCTTCACCACAAAATTTGGAAAACATTTCTGAATATGCCATATAGAGGAGAAAAATCATCATTCAAAATACACTTCAGCATCGACAGCCAGGTATAATTTAATACACATTTCAGCTTGCTGAACTATTCAAAGTTATCATCTTCAACAAACAGAGATATTGCACTGTTTTCCATTCTCTTTTGAAATAAATTGTTTCATTTTCTTTTGACTTATAAAGCTATACTTCTTGACATTTTCTGAAAGCATGAAAAATTTATCAGAAATTTCAAACTGACTCACATTAGCGTCTTCAATTTAACACCTTCAGGTACTTCAAGTTCTGAGCACAGTTCAATATTTTTCTGGTAAGGACATTCCAAAGCTGCCAACCTATTAAAGTAATTACACAATATGAGGAAACAAAAATACATAAAAAGCATAACACAAAACTACAATTTTATCCTTTAATTTTTTCATCCACCTCTCAAACGAAATAGAAAAACTCTGATAAATTATCATTATCAATCAATGTTTGGGATTTTCAAAGGTAATTCAAGAATATCAGAATAAAAAAGATAATAAAAAATGCAAAATTCAATCTACAACCATTATAATAGTACATATATATATATGTATATGTGTGTGTATAATAAATATTTAAAAAATAATAAGGGTGTTAAAAGGACTCCCTCAACCTCCCAAAAAATCCAGTGCTAACGCTGCTCAGAAAATAAAATAAATTAACACTATCCAGAAATTTTTGTTGTAAACAACGAACAATTAAAATGGGAAAGGATTGTGAGAACTGGGAAAAGTTAAAAGCCAATGGCCAAATTATATTATATATGAGGGTTGGAACTTTAATAGTGGCAACACAGCTGAAAAAACGCTATGCAACAAAACCAAAGAATATCGCGTATACCACATGTGGACTACATACCTACCTTACCTCTCAGCAAAAAGACTCGTCCTGCCTACGTCACGCCCATGCGGAGTGATGCGAAGAACGGATCCTTGTATTAGCTCGCGGTCTAAAGTAAGTGTTGTTAGGATGTTTTCAAAACAAGAACAACGATGTTGGATAAAAATTGAATGTGCCAGAGGTTGTACAGCACGACAGTGTCATCAAGGGCTTCAAGAGGCTTGCGGGGAATCTGTATTGCCTTACAGAACCGTAGCAAGATGGGTGAAAGCATTCAATGTAGGACGCCAAAACGTGGCAGACATGCTGCGGCCAGGTCATCCAAGTGTCAGCGATGCAGACATGCAAGCTGTTGCTGCACTAATGGACAGTGATCGCCGCCAAACAATTTGTCAGCTGGCCGGACAAACAGGATTAGCGCATGTGACTGTGCTGCACATTCTGAAGGAATGCCTGTCCATGAGAAAAATTGCTTCACGATGGGTTCCACATCAATTGACTGAAATGCAGAAATGGCTACGATACGATGCTGCCCGAACCCACCTGGAGCGCTATGAGCGCGAAGGAGATGCTTTTTTACGCTGTATCGTTACACTGGATGAGACTTGGGCCCAATCGTACCAGCCAGAACTGAAACGCCAATTAAACGAATGGCATCATCACGGGTCACAACGACGTTCAGAATTTCGTCAGAACCCCAGCAATGTGAAAGTTACGGTGATTCTTGTGTACGACTGTGATGGTGTCATCCTAACGCATATCGTCACTGCGCAGTATTACTGCTCATTTTTGGAGCACAATCTCTGACCAGCTTTGAGAAAAAAATGGCGACACTTTCTGCAGAACGCTCCTCTCATTTTGCATGACAATGCTCGGCCGCATGCAGCGCAAGCTGTGACTGATTTGTTCAAGCGATGGGACTGGGAAGTGCTTTAACATCCACCATACTCCCCAGATCTAAGCCCTTGTGACTATGACTTAATTCCTAAGATGAAGGAACCACTTCGTGGCCTTCGCTTCCAAACTGTTCCTGAGATTCTTGCAGCAGTAGACCGGTCCATTCAAACTATCAACAAAACAGGCGCTGCTACAGGTATTCTGCGACTTCCACATCGTTGGAAACGGGTTGTACACAATGCTGGCGACTATATTGAAGGACTGTAAAACATGGTGACATGAATCACTTTTGTATTCCTTGTAAATAAATAGTTGCCACTATTAAAGTTCCAACCCTCGTATATCATCATCATTTATTTAATCTGCCACCCACCCTTAATAATCCATTTTCATCAAGGAAAGAATTTAAATTACTTAAGAGAGTATCTTTTAGATATTTACACATCTAAGGGCTTGAATTTCTCTTTTGGATACTATTCCCTGTACTAGTTTTACAATGGATAGCTTGGAATACATAAATTCATCTTTAGTATAGGACCTGATGACCTCTTACCTTACCAACAGCTGGAAATAAAACTAAGAATATGAATTAGTTTGACAAAACTGTTACTTAAACAAAGAAAATGCTTAATGAAAACAGCATTAGAAGTGATACTAAGAGAAATTCACAGAGATCTTTTCAATTCACATTCGTAAAGTTCATAGTCTTTATGATCCAAATTGGTCTTTTCTATAACACTGATGTCAAGAATAGCAAGTCCACTGAATAGTAGTAATAATAGTCCACTGAACCACAATATCAGAGATTAAAGTTTGCCTGGCTCAACTCCATGAGAAACCAAATCAGCAGGATTCTTTTCCGAACGGATATGTTTCCACTCGAAGTTCTCTGATAACGTCTGAATTTTTGCAACATGATTTCCAACAAAGGCTTTGAGTTGATGTGATGAACAATTTATCCATGCTAATGTTACTATTTCAAAGTCTAAATTTAAAGAAATCAGAACTTTTTAACAAGCTTGACAAGTAGAAGAGGAAACAGAGAGCTCCAAATGTGGCTATGATATAGACCTTAAAGGGTCTACTCGAGATTTGCTTGCCATTAACTTCAAACAAGAGCTATCTTGATTGGGTTTTAGGTAAACCACCGCTCCATATGCGGTGGATTTTGAAGCATCGGTGAAACTTATGACAGCCTTCTCATCAGTGGTAGAATGCAAAGCATATCTTTCTAGCTTAAGGTTTTTAAGTGTTTTAACTTAAAAACTTAAGACAGAACTTTGAAACAAAACAATTCCATTCACTGGCAAATGGTTCAGGTAATTCAATGTCTCAGTTCAATTTTAGAGGTCATAATTTCAGAAGGATTACTTTTCCTTTACAACTGACTGGCCTGATGAAACCAATAGGATCATACAGGCAGGCAATGATTGAAAAGACATATCTTTTTGTAAAAGATAATTTAGTTTGGTAAGCAACTTTTAAAGTAAAGATATCAGATTCTGGTTGCCAAATTATGCCGACAGTTTCAGTATAATTAAAGTGAAACACTTCTTTAGATACTTTAAGGTCTAATACAGTCTTAGAGTTCCATTTATGTAAATACATTCCACAGCTTCTGAACATCTTTATGAGTTGATTATTTAATTAAATGACAGAATATAGAGGGCTCCATTTATTATGTCGTCAATACAAATGTCAGAAAGAGTCACTTCAGAAGCCAATGGGTATTTCTGCTGTTCATCCAAAGCTAATTGTTTCAGTGTTCTTGTAGCTAGAAATGGAGCAGTGTTCAGTCTGAAACACTAGGTGAGTCATTTTCATGCTCTTTCCATCAGATATGTAGCAGATCCCTTTGCAATGAGTCAATTAAAATCTGTCTAAACATTTGTTTAACGTCTGCCACTAGTGCTATTTGATGTTTATGAAATCAAACAATTAAATCAAAAACATCTTCTTTAACATCTCTTTACAGTTGTGGAAATTATTTTGATTAATTGATAGATGGCGCTAGCGTCGCGTGTGAAACGCGACGTGCTTTCTGAATTTCCAAAGACTCTCCACCAACAGCTCGATAGATGTATGCTTAAATGCTTCACACACTTTAGGAACACTTGGGTTCCTATTTAAAAGATTTTGATTTTCAATTATGAAAGCATATAGATTTGTTTGTCAACTGAACCACCATGTTTTGATTGATGATCTGTAAATATTGTACATATTAAAAGTTACATTTTAAAAGAGATTGATGTCGATTTATAGCAATCTTAGAATATTTTGAAACAACAGTAAAATATGATTCAGGCTTAAGCTGAAGTAGTATGGGCTCATGCATTAAACACAATGCACAATTTTTGAGGACCACTTTTCAGGTTTGTAAATTCATGGTGAGGAAGATAAAAAGTAACAGGTGGAGGATTTTCTTCTTTAACCCTTTCCATGTGATTTAAGCATTCATACTGCTTAAAAAAATCTGCATAAAGCCTTTTCAAGTTTGTTTTTCTATTTAACAAATTGTTTGATTAAGACGTTTGTTAGCTATGTTTCTCAAATTACCTAATTGAGGAAGTGCTTCTTCTCGAATAGGCATCTGTACAATGAAACGTCCACTCTTACCTCTCCTATGTGTCTTCTGATAGTGCAATTTACAAAACTCCTCTTTTGTGCTTCGGAGAGGTTTGTTGGTTATTTCTTTGGATTGCCAAAACTTATGAATGCATTGCACTTAGATTAGCCAGCAATATTGATTTGAACTTTCAATTACAATAACACCCTAGCAATAAATCCAAAAATTGAATCTTGGAAAAAGAAAGTAGTAAACTATTGTATCTTTCACTCTTTCAACTAATTCAAAAAAGAGCTCAGCACCCAACATGAGATCAATCTTTTCTGGCTTGTTAAAATCTGGGTTTAACCCCTTAAGGACAAGCGTGTAGAGAATGAAGTGCAGTCACGGGACCGGACCTACCGAAATGGATCGTCACCACTGGCACAGGCATTTTCAGCAGTTAAGCTTAATTAAAAAAAAAAAAAAATCGTATGCACTTTGATATAATGACTTCAATTTTTGAAGTTGCGTATTAAATGTACTTGTTTTTAATGTGTATTAATATAAAGAATATCATATTAATAGAAATAAATTAAACAGGCAAAATATTAAAATCATAACTATACACACAGAAATAAATACTATAAACATGAAAACAATATTACAAATACAGAGTTAAAAAAAAAAAAAAAAAAAAAAAAAAAAACTAAGCAAGAATTACCTGTAGGTAATTAAATTCCTATTTAAAAATTCTGCTGTGTGTGTAAAATAATTCAAAACAAGGATCGGCACACAGTTCTACATTGCCCATTTTGCAATCAAAATACGGCATTTGCTTTCGCTTTTCCTTGTTTATAGCACACACAACACATCTTTTCCTACCTTTATTACTTTTTCCATCAATGTAAATTTTCAGGAGATTTCTCCCAGTTAGACGGAAAGGTGGATTGTCTGGTGATTTTAGAGAAATTTTTAAGTTTTTAAGTAAAGTTTCTTAGCCATGGTTAACGGAATGAAACTGAATATAACCCCAATACATATCCCAAAGCTTCTTCAAAAGACACTCAGAAATATTTCATCCTCAAACCCTGTGTGAGATCAGGTTTATATTAGAAAACTTCCTGTTTTTCTAGATTGAAAAACAGCGTCCACCATTGATTGAAAAACAGATGACCGAAAAGTGATCAAGAAAATTGATATGATGAGTAACGGATATCCGCATTGGCAGAATATCCGTTACTCATCATATCAATATGTACATCATATATAATTACATTATACGTAAAGTAAATACAATACCAAAATATAATGCCTGGGTCATTACATATAATGACCCTTGAAGGCATTATATATAATGACCTAGTAAATGATGAAGATAATACCAATAGCCTTGCTGTGAATACTGTTACTGTGATTATGCTAAGTAAGATTTTGATTGAGGATGATTCCCAGGTATTTTGCTTGAATAACAATGAAAACAATTTTGCCAAACAAAATTAGGCTTCTGTAATTCTTGTTTCTCTTAATTGTCTTGGAGAGAATAAGTAATTGAGATTTGCGGGCGTTTATTTTAACCCGTCAAGTTTAACACCAGTTTTCAATAGAGCTTGCATAATTCTGAAGTTTAAAGATGGCATGTTTAGCATTAAAAGACATGAGAGCGACAGCCGTATCATTAACATAACAGGTTAATAATGAGTAGTTCACAAGACCTGGTGAGGAATCTGAGATCTAATACAAGTAGAGAAGCGTGCCGACAATACTTCCTCGGGGGATGCAAGATTATATGTGCCCTTGTCTCGGGATGACATTTTCATAAGCAACAACGAATGTGTGCTGCTTGAGAAGGGACGTAATTAGGAGAATCAGGTCCCGGTTCAGCCCAAGTTGAAATAATTTGTAAATGAGTCCCTCATGCCAGATGCGGTCGAAGGCTTTCGCCACGTTGAGCATAAAAAGCACAACACTCTGATTGTTGTGGAACGCTGCACCGACGAATTCAGTAATTCTAACAAGTTGCTTGGTGAGATTTTTCTTAAAAATATATTAATCTAATTCAGAAGTCAAACAACAAAAATCAGCGTTATATTTTCAAATTTTCACAGGACTAATTTTGATGGTTTTACCGAACCACCACTTTGCCCGGGACTGCCCAAAGCCGTTCAAAGAACTGAACATCTGCGCAAACTGCTCTGGAGGACATGCTACAAATTGGAATCACTGTCCAAGGCATCCTGCAAACAAAAACAAGAAACAGAGGGGACCCTCAAACTCTATTTCGAACTCCCAAGAAGCCGGGAAACAAAATTTTGTATCCACTCCAGCTCCATTTAGCAGCACAGCTCCCTTATTTTCTTCCAAAGTAGCGAACGAACGTATTAATCACGGCAGAACGTCCGTTCATGATCAAAGACCAACTGCCACTCCATCTGCTCCAGTTCCTATACCAGAGAAACCACCTGCCCAGGTTCTAGCCCAACCTGCTGTGCCTGACAACAACTCTTGCACCGACACTCTCAGGAGTGTCTTCCAGATCTCTCGAGAGTTCGGTATAGATCAGAGGACTCATCCTGGCTGCATTCCAGAAGGCCCTGCCTCAACTGGTCATGACAGAGTGTTCTTCATATTTGAGAGCTACTGTGCTCTCACATCTTAAGGCTTCACATTCAACGCCTCGAGAAGACCTCCTCATCGGATACTGGAATGCAAACGGCGTTCTTCCAAAAATTCACGAATTACATCAGTGAGCATGCCGTGGACCTCTTCCTCATTCAGGAAACTCATCTGGTTGAGGAACGTAGCGCCAATATTCCCAATTATTTCTGCTACCGCAATGATAGAGCGGCTAGCAACAGTGACGCTATTCGCGCCCACTGAAATTTATGTAAAACGCACTGTGAAACACAGCAGAATTCCAACTCTGCATATGGAGGCTCTCGAGGCAATTATTGTCCAAATTTATATTCAAAATTTGCGCCCCATAGCAGTAGCGTCCTGCTATATGCCTCCAAGAGAAGGGACCAAACTTTTCTCCCTGATCCTTAAAAAACTTAGCGGAGTCTTAAATAACATGATTATTGCAGGAGATTTTAATGCCCGCCATAGAAGTTGGGATTGCGTCACTGCCAATAACTATGGTGATAAATTAAAAAATTGGGCTCAGGGCGCCCACATCCAAATTATTGCGCCAGGAGTACCTACGCATTATCAGTTTCCTGGAGGCATAGGTGCTCCATCTATTATTGATTTGGCATCTGTTCAAAAATATACCGTTAGATCATTCGAGTACAAGTGATTTCGGAATTGTCAAGCGACCACTACCCAGTTCACCTCGCCCTTAACTGTATCAAAATAAATCAAAATCTACTGGCGCAAGTCGCCACGAATTGGGACAATTTTCGGCATATTTTGAATTCTAATAAACTACCCTCCCTCAAACTTAGCAATAATCATGATATTGATAACTCTGTTAAGCAACTCACTAGCACAATCAAAAGTGCATTTGATGCGGCCTCATTTCCTAAATTTAGACCCAACTATTCCAAACTCCCGGCTAACATTAAAGAAAAAATCAAAATCAAAAATCGTCTTCATAAAGATTGGCAAAGAACCCGAGTTGAAACTACCAGAACCCAACTATGAAGACCCTAGAATGAGATTAAATCTGACATCAAAAGGTATTCTGATGATAAATTCAATAACTATCTTAAGTCCTTAAAGACCCTAATAATAGCCTTTGGGAAGCTAGCGCTCGGCTACCCAAACCAAAAACAGACGTTCTCCCCCTAATGGACACGGTCAATGACCAAATGGCAATCATTGACACGGACAAGGCTGAACGCCTTGCAGACAGCCTACAGGAACAATTTTCACCTAATACTGAACTTCTGTTCGATACCTGAACTCCGCATGGGCGAGAAGTCCAAATACAGGTTGACGATTTTCTCTTCTCAGCACCAGACTCAGGAGAACCCATAAAAACAACAATGACTGAAATTGCGTATGTTATACATGATTTAACCCCCAAATTGGCACCAGGTCTGGATAACATTAATAATCGCATGATTAAAAACCTCCCTGTTAAATTTATATTTTACCTAGCATTTTTGTTTAACACTATGCTAAGGCTAAAATATTATCCTACTAGCTGGAAGAATGCTTGTGTCATTCCTATTCTAAAACCTGCTTCGGACCCAAAAGTCCCTCAAAATTACAGGCCGATCAGCCTCCTGTCTTCTCTTAGTAAACTTTACGAAACTATATTGCTTAGACACCTGAAAGATTTCTGCCGAAACCGAAATATCATTATCCCACAACAATTCGGTTTTCGAGCTAAACACTCCACTCAGGCCCAGCTTCTGAGAGTAGTGGAAATCATTCATACGGGTGCTCGCAATAGAATGCCAACAGCTATTGTTTATTTAGATGTAGCAAAGGCATTCGACAGGTGTTGGCACATCGGCATAATATACAAGCTCATGCGACTTGGACTTTTTGGCTGACTTTGTGCGACTAATGCACTCCTACCTAAATAATAGACACTTTGTGTAAAAGTTAAAAATTCTCTCTCTTCCCCCCGGCCTATCCTGGCTGGGGTCCCTCAGGGAGGAATAATTAAGCGCGTATCTTTTAACCTGTATGTAAACGACATTCCACAATCACCTACTGTCGATTTGGCACTCTATGCAGACGACACTGCCATTATTTCACAACATTAATTCCTCCCCTAGATGCTTTTTTTCAAGCATATTTTGGCAAAATTCTTTTACCGTATTGAACAGATTAGTAACCTGGTCTTGCACGCTATTCCTGTCTATAATCCGGCACAACCGAGCTCTGCCAAGTGACCTAGGGCTGTCATGGACAGATCTTATAACATCTTCCCTAGGAAGCCTAAAAAGGTTTGCCTGCTTGACTAGGGAAACTAATCTGATTAAACTAAAAGTACTTCACAGGCCTAACCCGGCTACTTCCCTCAGACCTAATCTGGCATCATTTATCGCGAACCCATCCCCGTGTTGCACTGAAATAATTTTACCTGC